GGTCTTCGTAAGCGGGGCTGCAGATGACTGCCACATCCTCCTGTCTCTCCAGATATTCTTTAAGCATATTTACGTGGAATATCTTCTGCAGACTTTCCTCGTGGCAGCTAGCAATCACGTATGTAGTGTCCCCGCGTTTCTCTACTACTTGGTAAAGTCCCTGCCAAGATGCTTGCAGCTTGTCTGCTTTAACAGGTTTGAGAACCATAATTTTTTGTCCTATACAAAAGCTCCTCCTCTGTGCCCCCCTGTCATACCAAACTTTCTGTCGCCTCTGGGCCTCCTGGAGGTTCACCTGGACCGACCGGGCTAATTGTTCCATACGGTCCCTAAGCTCCAGAACGTATGGTACAATGGGGACTCTGGCATTCTTGGTCTCTCCCTCCCAGTGCTCATGGATAAGGTTCAGGGGTCTCTGTACCTTGCATCCATATAGCAGCTCAAAGGGAGAGAATCCGGTCGTTTCCTGGGGCACCTCCCGGTAAGCGAACAGGAGATGTGGCAGGAAGCGTTCCCAGTCTCTATATTTCTGGGTGAAAGTTTTCAGCATTTGTTTGAGGGTTCCATTGAACCTCTCACATAAACCATTAGTCGGCAGATGATACGGAGAGCTGAGTAGGGATTTTATTTTGCAGACATGCCATAGCTGTTTCGTTAGTTCAGCAATGAACTGGATGCCTCTGTTGGATAGGATTTCCCTGGGGAATCCCACCCGAGAGAACACCTGAACTAATGCATTAGCTACGGTGTCTGCTTGGATGTTGGAAATTAAATGGCTGTAAGGATAAGCTCCAACGTAAAAGCGAGTAGCCTCTGGGTAGCGAGTAGCATAGTCCACCACGGTAAGAATATATCTCTTTCCAGATGGACTGGGGGTGGCGAGTGGCCCCACTAGGTCGATGGCTACCCGGCTAAAGGGTTCTTCTATAATGGGCATGTTGACGAGGTGTGCCTTGGGGTGGTCTCCTCTCTTTCACACTCTCTGGCAGACCTCGCAAGTATTATAGTAAGTCTTCACATGTGCATGTACCCCTGGCCAGAAAAAGGCATGGGTAATACGGTGGAGGGTACGGGTTACTGCTAGGTGCCCGGCTAAAGGAATGTTGTGACCCACCCGGAGAATGTCTCGCCTATACTTGTGGGGAATGACCAACTGTCTCCTACGGTGCCCCTTTTTCTCGGTATGCCTGTACAACCTGCCCTGCTCCCATGCAAATGTCTCATGGTCTGACCCCCCAGTCCCTGTGTCGGCTCTTTCCCTATATTTCTGGAGGGTCGGGTCGGTTTTAGTCTCAGCCTCAAAGGCTGCAGGCGTATCCCAGGGTAATGGTGAAGGGCAGTTAGTCACAGTCGGGGTTAGTCTTACCTGAGTCTCCCGCACTGGCGAAGGGTCTTGGGTCCTTCCTGCTTGCGACCGGGTAGTTACAGGATGTGCCTCCAGGTGGTAGGAAGAGGCATCTTTTCCATGACCACGGAATTTGTCTTTTGACATGGTTGTTTAACCCCTTAAGGGCAGATGACATGTGTGACATGTCATGATTCCCTTTTATTCCAGAAGTTTGGTCCTTAACGGGTTAAGAAATGAGAAGCTACTCATTGCATCAGTTGAGGTTATTATTATTATTATTATTGCCATTTATGTAGTGCCAACAGATTCCGTAGCACTTTACAATATTATGAGAGGGGGGATGTAACTATAAATAGGACAATTACAAGAAAACTTACAGGAACAATAGGTTGCAGAGGACCCTGCTCAAACGCGCTTAAAGTCTATAGGGTTAAATAACTTGTTGCCAGCTGAAATATAATTGCCCATGCAGTAACTATCCAATAGGAGGCTCTTACCTATTTGCTTAGTTAAATCCATGTGGCGACTTTTTTTTGGCCAGACAGTGTACATGACATGCATGTGTAACTAAAGAGCTTTGTCAATTTAGGAATGCAATATCCACCCTAATTTCCAGGACACGCACAATTTCTTTATATTAATTGATAACACAGAAAAAGTTTAGCCTTGCAGTATCTAGGAGATAAATGTTACAGGATCCCTCATTGCTTTAATATGTTTTCTTCCTGTAGCACTTAAATAGTAATGTGTGTCTAGTATATCATGGGGGCTCTGACAAACTTACATATCATGCCACCCTTGTAAATTTTAAATAATGAATGCACGTGTAGTGAGATTTATTCACTAAATTCTCCATTATAGTGAATTTAAATCTGAATAGAAGCTAGCTGAAGTTCTGTTAACTAAGCAGTGACTATAGAAGTTAGAAAATTACTCCCAGAGCCAGATTATACATTAGGCGACCAAGGTGGTGACCTGGGGTTTGGGCTCAGACAGAGGCCCAGGAGCTTCAGCTGGCAGGGAACTGTGAGGGAGATCAAAAGATCTCCCTGCATGGCCCTGCGACCCTCATTTCATTGACAGATCATTGTGTTCTTTGCCAATATCAGGTAGAGACATCTTTAAGAGAGCCAATGTGAGGGAATTCTTAACGTGGTCTGTACCTGATATTGGTAAAGATGATGGAGCACTCCTATCGGACAATCATGGATCCAGTTCACCCTTCACTGGACCACCGGTGATCCAATTCACCCTCCACTGGCCCACAAAATTAGGTAAGCAAGGAAGGGAGGCAAAAACACACAACACTCAGACACCCATATAAATACAAAGACCCTACACACACCCAGCACACATAGACACAGTCAGCCTTCCCCTATATTTTTCTCAGCCCCCACACAACAATCATCCACTATGCTTGGTCCACCAACAACAACACACAGAAACAGATTCCAGGGCTCTTGGAAGTGGAAGTAATCCTACCTAAAGTACAGGGCAACCTTACTCCAGCACTGAATTTAAATTCACTGAAACCCTTATCAGTGTAAAACATGTATAATGTATGGTAATCAGAACTAGAACCAACTGAGAAGATTGTTCATCTTTTGAGCATATGAGAATCCATGATTTATGTAAAAATTTATTTTACAATACTTTATATTTTTTAATGTTAATTATTTATGTATTAAACAATGACTTATGATATTTAATGCAAAAGAAATACACGCTGCAAACACCAGCTAATCCTCTCAATATACACTAAAATATTGTACAAAACGCAACACAAAACTTAAAAAAAGGTGGAGCATGTCTAAAACAAAACATATATACCTAGTATTGGAATTGGAAATAGTATTTCCAGTTTTACATAAAAAAGATGCAGATCTGTGAGTAATATCCTAAACTGTGATACAGATGCTAATTGCCAACTCACAAAAAAGAGCCAAACGATTGGTGTCTTTAAAGATAACCTCATATGGGAGAGAAAACCTTAAACAGAATAGCCAATGTAGCATATAGTTTTCACGTATGTAACGTATAAAACGTAGGCATAAAAATACACTCACATGAAGAAGAGCCTATATGTACTGGCTCTGGTATATATATATAACTGTGTTAACTAGGCATAGCACCTCCCACACAACTATGCAGTATAACAGCAGGGAATATTAACAGCCAGGTCGATGGAAAATTAGAAGGATTTCATTTCATACACATTACAATGCCAACAAGGCTAAAACCAATAAAGCAATATGAATATCTTTCAAACAATCCTTGTGCATGTCAATACGTGCTTGTTGTATTTAAGCAACTTCCTCAGTCCATGTCTACTGGCTCTGCTTGTTCCGATTTTAACTTCCACGGTGTGTGATGTTACACTATCACTTCACCTCTTCCACAACCTGAATCTTAAACTGATTAATAAGACCCGACAGGGAGAGCAGTGAGCAGTGCAAGAAAAAGCTAAGGAGCACCACATTATGGGCTGGATCCCCCAAGCCCCTCCATAATGAAGTCACTTGTTGTACCCATCTGTTGCCCCTAGACCTCACATCTCCACATCTGATATCATGCCTAACACCTTTGATTTCTATATGTATTGTTTATTTCCTTTGCCAATTGGCCTGGTGGGTTTCTTACCAAGTAAGATTCACAATACTTATCCCATTAAACTTGGCACAGGGCACCTGGTCCCAGCTTGTGCTAGCTTTATTGAGATTGATCACCTACCATTAAAAGTATTGTTTGGATTGTGCCATTGTACATTAATGTGATAATTATCTGTACACTCATTTTAACTACCCTCTCGCCTTCTTCCATGTGTTTACATTTAGAGGGTCACAAAGCATAATTGCCTCCCTGCCTAGAAGTAAATTTCTTCTGCTTACGTCCATGTATCACACTGTATTAACTGTTGTTAAGACTTTAATAGTTAAGTTGCTACTAACGTCTTTTTTTATTTATTTAATGTTTTATTGGGTTTTTCATTTGGTTTTGTAATCCCAATTCATAGCATAATGATAACAGAGTAACAGTATCGGATCAGTCGTACATACAGTTACATAGAGTATTGTACAGATGTGAATAATCACATCTTGTACAATAATCACATCTGTTGTGATAGGAAATAGAAAACAGAAAAAAAACAGAAGGGTTCCAAACCTGGAATGAAAAGATAAAAATAAAAAAAAATAAAAGAATTGGAGAAAACTCATTCTCAGCCTCTCTAGGAGACGGGAGTATGTATGACATAAATCCTGTATAGGTGCTTCAGACAATCGGAAGGGCTTTTGTCCCAGTGTCTATTAGCCAAAATAAATACTAGATATTATTGTATTAGTAGATGGGTTAGTAGATGTAGACCCTTTTAGAAACTGTTGCCTGGGGGACAATATTTTAATGAATGTGTAGTCTTTGTCTAATGACAACCCTATGAGTTCCTCAAGCACGCAGAAGTTTTAAATTTAAGTATACCAATCTGATACAGATGGAGAATCAGTGGATCTCCAGGGAAGAGGCACCTCCGCTGTGGCTGTCCCTGCCTATTTCCCTCCAGCTGTTCGCCTCAATTCATGCTCATTCCCACGAATGCGGCCCGAACGCAGACACTCCACGCACCTGTTCGAGGCCAGAACGTTCAGCAGATCCAGACTTCTCCTGTTCGTGGCCCAAACGTTGGTTCGCTCCCATACGCTCCTGTTCGCAGCCTGAATGTATGCCTGTCTCCACACTCACTTGTTCATGGCCCGAACATTTGCCACCTCCAGCCGAATCCAGTTCTGTGCCAGACCATTCCCCTCCTTCGTGGTACGAATGTGCAGCCTCAACCTTGTTCCTAGGTGGACAGCCAGACCGTGTGGCTGCACAGTGATGCCGGCAACGACCTCTTGATTTACTGCTGTTCACCGCAGGGATAGACTCACCCTCCTCCTCCTGTTGGAGTCCACGCTGGGGCTCAGATGTTTTGCGGTTGGGTCCTCCGTGTGGGGCGCTCAGGGGGGACTGCGGCAGTCGCTGTAGATCCTTCAGAACTAGGCCCAGCTGGGACCAGGGCCTCTCCCAGATGTGAACACCAGCCAGCCAAGCTTCTATTCTTCAACCAGCATCACCTGCAAGACAAAAGGACAGAGACACCACACAGCCTGCACAAAACAGGTAAGTGAGGATTAGTTAAGATGGCCCCTGATCTAAAATAGCCACTATATATACTCCTCTAACACAAACCGCACCTCCAGCTATACTAGCCAGTCCCCCCCCCCATTACACAACTTATATGCCTGTTTCCTAGCAATGTCAAGGCCCATTCACCTTAGCTGCGCTGCTCCATGGGCTACATACTCGAAGGGACCCGATTTGAGCGACATCCTTACCCTAGAAGGATGACCTGGCTTCCATGCTTGCTAAATTGGAGGCAAATCTCCACTCTGGCCTCAGATATATGCCAACTCTCCACTCTGGCCACAGGGTAGGAGGCTTGGAGAATGATCAATACGTCAAGTGCCAGAAACTTCAGGCAGTGGCTCCAAGTGCTCAGAAGGAGGGAGTGCTTTGTCCGGTGGAAGTGTTGCATCTGAGGACCTCTTGCTTGGTGGACTCATAAAGGAGTCATTGTCACCATCCACCTTTGCAAACTATGTCAAGGTTTGGCAAGAATGGGGCATTGCAATGGTGTGTGCGAGAGGGCAGGACTCAGCTGCGACGCGGTTTGACACTTTGTTATGGTTCATTTGTAGGTTATTTGCTTCAGGGGCATCTCCATCTGCTATAGTGTGTCAGGCTATTCAGGCTATTTTGTTGCATGCTGATGGTTCTGTGTTATCTAAATTTCAGTTCCTTAGGGTTCTACGGTTGGCCTTGGGGCGTTTGGGCTTGGGTTCATTACAGTTCGGTACACATTCATTCAAGATTGGGGCTGCAACGGCGGCATCTCAGTTGGGTTTGGGGGATGACTGGTCAAGAAGATCGGGACGTGGGAATCAGTGAGATTCAGGTCATATGTGAGGCCCAACCATTTGTTTAAGTTTGGTTGAATTGGTTATGTTTGTTCTTAGTTGGTAACGTGCATATCTTTTGCAGGTTGGATTGCGTGGGTGATGGGACACTCGTATATGTACTGGGCACAATGGAGAGCTGCAGTTTGTCGTCAAGGCATACAGCTGAGCTTTCCGCGCTCAATGGTGCAGACTGATTGGTTTGGTTTTAGGTGGTTCAGTTGGCAATGGATTTGCTTTGAGCTATTCAAGAGGATTATTGAGAATTGAGTGCCTAACATTGTTTTGTTTCGTGCTGGGGGGTGGGGGGGGATGACTTAAGTCTGATTTCGCAGAGGGCTTTGCTAACTGGGATGAAAAAGGATTTGGATAGGTTGGTCCCTAATGTGGTTGTCATATGGTCGTAGATGGTACCGTGATTGCAATGGCGTCATGCTAGGGACCACCAGGCAAGGGGGGAAGGTGAATAAAATAATGGTGACATATGTTAGACGCTTGGGTGGGGTGGTTTTCAGGCATTAGGAGTTGGAAGCTCAGTTGGCTGGTAATTACAGGCAGGATGGGTACGGAGTTTATGTTGTTAGAGTTTCAGGAAGGTTTACACAGAGCATTGTTTTTGGTGGGGGTGCTCAGGTAGCTCAAGGCGTCGAGCTCTGAGCTATGGCAGGGGATGGATTGAGAAGTTGGGGTGTAGGTTGTTTTTCCTGATGTAAAATAGTTGGTTCACTAAGAACAGTTAGGTTTGGAAGGGATTGGTAGGTTCAAGCTCGTTGGTAGCTCCGAACCTGGTGTATCTCGGTATGCCCCTACATGGAAGAAAGCTGGAAATCATGCTGTTGGTGGCAATGGTTATGCTTATATGTTAATTATATGTTATAATGTGGTTTTACTTATTGTGATGTGTGTCATTGTCAGGGGTAATATTGTTAAAGGAGTTGGGGGTGATAATTTTCCTAAATAAAGTTATCTGAATATTTGTGGAGGGGAGTGTGGAGAGGGGGGGGGAGTTTGGGATTGTTAAGCATATGCTGAAAAGGCTACTATGCATAGGTCAGGACGATTGTTCTGAAAACCTGGGCTACCTGGAGGGGATTCATGCAAAGATGGCGCTGTCATGCTACGATCCAACCTTCGCTGATAAAACTCTCACTTTATCTAAAAAATATGGGTCTAGATCGCCTGATTTTTTGATAGAGCCTCATGAGATATGAGAGATTTTTTGTTATTTCCCATGGTATAGGAATAGTTATTTTTTGGCTCTTTTATGTTAGGCTTACCAGGAGCTCACCAAACTTGCGTATGCTCACATTGAATATTAAACCACGCCCCCTTGCTACTAACATCTTATATGAAAACTCATATCAGTTTGGGTGCCTAGGACCAGAATGCAAGAAACGCTAATTGATCATAATATAATTTATCCAACAACAGTACTTTTTTAAATCAATCCTAGAGAGATGAAATGTTGTGTTATCCCAGCCAGGACAACATGTCAGCCTGAGGTTTGAACAATAAACTAGATAAACAACATAACAATGCTTATTTATAAAGTGATTTTGACCCTTAAAGGAGATTCTAAGACTTAGCACTCCTTCTCAGATTAAACTGAAGCTTCTACTAATATAGAGAAGATCTTATTACTTAATGGTTAGTGTTGTAGCAGCCTCAAAGATATGAAAAGCTTTCGAGGACTTGGCTGGAAATGGATCCTGTAACCCTGAGGTGTAAACAGGCTTGACACATACAGTTGCATTAAACAATCTAAAAATCATTATAAAAATCAGCTCAAAATCAAACATAAGTTAAATTCATGTATTTTAATTTGTTTATTCCTTTAAAACTAAATCCTGCTTCTTTGCAAATATTATAAATATTAGGATGGTAATTTAATATTACATGTTGCACACAGCTTAAAGAAAGCCTTTGGTACATACGTTCAATTTGTCTTTTATAATGGAGAATACATTTCAAATGTATTCATACAGTAGCATTATTTTAATCAAATCCTATGGCCATTGTAAGTAATTCAGTCTCATTTTGCTTTGCAATTTCAGAAGGGTCCAGACAGCGATGCCCTTTGTCAATCTAATTGCTTGCATAGTCTTCAGAACTGCTCGCAATCAAAATTAGAAATCTTGCAGACATAAACAAGGTTGCATTGAAAGGAACACTCTGACATTAGAAATACAAATGTATTTAGTTTTTTAATTCTTTGTTGAAAAGTTTAATTAACAGTATAATGTCTTTCAATACAGCAGAACAGTACAAGCAAACTTATTTGTAATGCTAGAATATTTTTTGCCATTTGTCCAATTTACCATCAGTGACTATGATCTCATTCCATCCAGTGATTCCCCATAGGGCTGGTCTCCCAGCAGTGCCGCTTTTGGCAGTCATGATTTTCATGTTCTGTTCCGCCATACGCTTTAGATCCCTGGTATCCCACATCTTGGAACTGTCCATGGGCAGCACAGAGTGAGCACCTCATTAGATGCACTTGCATTATGTGGTGGGTACTAGGACAATACAGAGGTGCTGAAAGCTGGGGCCAGCCAGGCAACCTGTCCATTGCTGGGATGGCCCACCTGTTATGGGTATTTCTTTTTAGGAGGTATGTCATAGGTATGCTACACAAATCCACATCTCCTCATAGAGATACATTAGCTTAAGTGTGAAGACATACGTCAGAGTCACATTGCATCAGAGTCACAAGGAAGTGGTAGCTGTAATTAGCTCTAGTTTCTAGAGCTAGTAAAATCTCATTAATAAAATTAAGTATAAAATATGCCTATTCAAAGGGGACATATTTGTCTTAATACATCTACAAACCCATCATCTAGGTTTATATAGGCATTATATGTAGATTTTCTATTACAAGTAATAATCTTGACTCATTTAACAAACATTTTATCAAGATGGAATTACTTACTTTTGTAACACATACTTTCATTGGGCGTTCCATGGAAGAGCCTCTTGTACATTCTTTAGTCATCATTTTTATATATACAGGGTTATTTACAGAACTGAGAATTCAAAGTTAATTTAAGGCCTGAGTAGCTTAACCCCTTCGGGACCGGACTGTTTTGGCCATGTTGTACGTTAAGGACCAGAGCTGTTTTGACACTTTTGGGGTGTTTGTGTTTAGCTGTAATTTTCCTCTCTCTCATTTACTGTTCCCATACAACTTATATATTTCTTTTCAGGACAAAAAGGGCTCTCTTTACATACCATTATTACTATCATGTCATATAATTTAATTTAAAAAAAATAAATAAAATATGGTGAAAAGAATTGAAAAAAATACATGTTTTTTGACTTTTACTTGAAAAATCTTTTACTCATCTACAAAAGCTAATGAAAAAACTGCTAAATAGATTAAATATGTTGTCCTGGGTTTAAAAACACCCAGTGTTTACTTGCTTTTTTGCTTTTTGTTGCAAGTTATAGAGCTATCAGTACAAGTAGGATATTGTACTTTTGATATTTCAAAACATACATTTTTAAAATGTATCAGTAGTGACATTGTAACACTGTTATCTGTCATAAATCTCTAAAAAAAACACCTCACATGTACAAATTTGTTTTTTAAAGTACACATCCCAGGGTAAAGCGCCGCTCGAGCGAGGGAAATTTTCTAAGTCCCACGAGCTCCAGGCCCGTCGCGTATGAGGATCTGCCCCTCCGCGTCCAGGCACCACTTCCGCGAGGTCTGACGCTTTTCCGGGCAGGTCCCCCTAAACGACGCGCGTGCAGAAAGTGCACGACAGTAGCCGGGGGCACCCTCTAAGGATATTTTGACACTTTCTATGCAGTCATTTTACCACCAGTCTTTGCCAA